AAAAAAGTGAGATTCCCCAGGATGTGAGGGGGAAACTGGTGGAAAGCTTTTCCAGTTGAGGACACTAGTCTGGAGACGTAAGGCTTCTGGACAAAGGCATTGACCAGAGTCCACGCTGAACAGACACTAAAAAGTGAAGGGGCTAATTTTGGGGATCTGTGCTCTACAGATGTTAGAAAAGTACCAAGGCTAGTGGCTTGGCCCATGACTTTCTATTTGGCTGGGTACTTTTAGTCCTTAAGTCTAAACTTTTTGTAACCTCCATTTAGGTCCACCCCCATTTCAATTTTCCCACCACTTTGGGACAAAGAAGTGGACTCAAATGCTTAACTTTACAGGGTTGCCTTTACATTTGAAAAAAACCTTATTTGCCACCCATTATACTCATTGAATAACTAGCCTATTTTATGGGGGTGGGTAAAAACTGCCAGTCACAAAGAACGGGGCAATGGGTACCAGTACTATTAAATTGTAACCTGGGGACAAAATAGTCTCCTCTTTTAAGATCTGAGAGGATAACCCATTTGGCCAGGGGACATTTCTGGGTGTAGCCCTGCCTGTTGCTCACAGAGCTAAAATACAAGGACCTCCTGAGTCCCCAGGTACGCAAGCATCTGTGTCTTGGCCCTGATGATTTCTGCAGAGAGAGGTCCCTAAAAATCTCTGTAATGGTCAATGTGACCTTCACTGGACAGAGTGCCATAGATGTATAAAAAGAGAGAGTCCCGGGTGCAACTGACAGTGGGACAGTGGGGGACTCACTTGTTGATGGCGTTATGATGATGCTAAGGGAGACTGGTCAAACAACAATACCTGTGCTCAAACCCCTTCAATGCAAACTGGAAGGAAAAAAAGGTTAAGGCACAGTTTTTGGTTTTTTGTTTTTTTTGTATGACAGACTGTGATCCCTCTCTTAGGATAAAATTTTTCATGTAAATTAAATGTAGAGATAACATTCTCACCCCAAAAGCAACAACTTCTAGAAAAAGAAAACAGAGCTTGCTGTGCTGGAGGTCTACTAGAAGTGAGTGAGACCTTTTAGGCTAAAGAGACCCTGAGAAAGGTGATCCATGTTATCCTAACCAAGATTTGTTTTAGGAGGAAATAACTTGTCTCAGGAAAAAATAAAATAACCCTTAAGAGAGAGGCATTAATGGGGATTCATTCTGTTCTGGACAATTGTTTAAAATGTGTATTGCTTCAGTTTTGCCAGTTTTGCCTATTCTGCCTGTTGAAAAAAAACCTCACACTGATGAGTGCTAATTAGTGCAAGACTTGAGAGCAATACTAGAGACAGATACATCTGAAACTAAATATGTTTGTCTGAGCTTTATCTAAATGTTCTGTAAAAGTTTATAAAATAAAAGTTCAGGGCTCGGGATGTGGCTCAAGTGGTAATGCGCTCACCTGGCATGTGTGAGGCACTGGGTTTGATCCTCAGCACCACATTAAAAAAAATAAAGATGTTGTGTGCACCTAAAACTAAAAAATAAATACTTCAAAAAAATAAAAGTTCATGTGGGTTTATCCAATAAGAGCTCTCTTTTATCTGGCATAAAAGGGTCACACTGCCATTTGGAAAACTGGCTCATGTCTATCTGATCTATCTGCTTTGACTAAGTCAAGTTCTGATCATTAACACCGTTCCCTAAATGTCTGAGATTTAAGGCTATCCTTGATTTTTGCTAGTATTATTGAAGTCTACAAGCTTGCAATTATCTGCAAATTCTGAATTCTATTGTGAAAATAAACCTAATTAATATAAGGACATTTGTGTAATGTGATGCTAACTATTAGTTCTTCTTTGTATACTGAATACATTTACGTTCTTTTAGTATAGGTTTTAAAATATAAAGTTTAGGAAAGCACTTTACAAAACTTCGGTGTTCTCCAAACTAATGTTGTCTGTAATGGTAATTTTAGACTTATAGAAATAGCAAATTTAATTGGGGACTTGTTTATATCATTTAACGTTCTGTAACTGAACTTGTTATCAATAAAGTATATGTAAAATTCATGTTACTTTTTACACTGTGGTGAAAATTTAAATGTACTTTTGAAAGATATTGAAAGCCTGATCTGTTTAAAGGTTAATATTGTGAAACATAAAAACATTTTGCCACTTTCCCAGAAAAGGGTGTTAAAACCTTTCTTAGCTTTTGTTTGATTCATGTTTCAGATATAATGTTATGTTAACTAACATTCAGATAGACTCAGGATACAGCTTATAAAAACTTTGTAAAATGGTATTTAAAAAAAGAGGTAAAGATCAGCTTCAGAAATAAAACACTTATACGTAAGATTTGTCAAGAGCTCTGCCTCATCTGAGCAAGACTCTGCCTCTCATCTTACTCCGTGTTAAGATGATTTCAAAGTAGACTAGACTTAAGCTCTTTAAAGTTATGTTCAAATGATAAATTTTTGTCATAAAGATTACTGTGATTTCAAAATAAACAGGACATATAATATATAACTAAGTAAAGTTTAGAATTATAAAAAAAATTATGTTTCTTGGATCATAGCCGTTATCCAAACTAAATATGTTTCTGCTATTGGTAATTTCAATTTGTATTTTCCTTTAAAATGTAACAGCTGTTGCCCATTAATGTTTTTCAGAGGTGCTCTTTCTAATTGAACAACCTGAGTTAATTTGAGATAATAAGCTTTCACTGATGGGACAGACATGAAATAAAGCTAACTTCCAGTGCTAATATTGATCCCCAATTAAATGGAAGGGGTAACTATAAAATTAAAACCCATTACTCCCATTTAAACACTGGTGAAACGGGTCTGATGGATGTTTAAAACCCCAAACTTGGAGACTACAGTCAAGAAAGTAAATGGGCCAAGGAAAAAGCAGCCAATGATGGACAACTCTTCCAAGGGCCCTGCAACCCCAGTGAGTTACCCAATCTGCCAATCAGGGAGATTGGGAAGACCCTAGAGGATGGGATGCCAACCAGTGCACATTCTGCAAAGAGGGTGGTTGACCTACCTCATCTAAGAAGAAAGGCTTTTTACAAGATGCATCCCTTTCCTCAGGCTGCCCTAAGAAAAGACCACAATATGGGTGGCTTGAAACAACAGAAACTCTTGTCTTGCAGTGCTAAAGAGGAGTCTGAAATTCACTGCAGGCAGGGCCATGCTATCTGGTGGCTTAAGGGAGGAATCCTTCCCTGCCTCATCCCAGCTCCTGGTAGTGGCCAGCCCTACTGGGTGCCCATGTAGTATGAGTTCAATTTTGTCCCCCCAAAACAAGTTGAAGTCCCAACTCTCAGCACCTGTGTCAGCCTCACTGTACCCTCTGCCTCCATCTTCATGTGGCTGTCCCTCCTGTGTGTCTCTGTCTTATGTTTCTTTTCCTTTTCTTTTAAGGATACCTGTCATATGGGATTCAAGGCCCAGGTTGCTCCAGCATGACCTCATTTTAATTTATTATGTCTGCAAAGATCCTAGTTCCAAAATAAGGTCAATCCCAGATGCTGGGCATTAGTACTTCCGTATATATTTGGGGAGGAGGGAATCGAACCCATCACACAAGGGCATTCCTAGGTTTCATGAAGGAATATTTTCCTTGGGAATATGGCCAACCATCTGGGATTAACTTTGGTCATTTGTCTTTGGGAGTTTTGGTTTCCCTGTATTTCTCAGCTGAACCCAAATGGTGCTTCTTTCCATTACATTAAGAAAATTCTGGTAAATTAATATACACATCTTAAAGTTTGCCATCTTAACAGCTCTTAAGTGTAAAATTCAGTGGCATGAGGTGTGTTTGTTAATGTCGTACATCCATCACCACTGTCACTGGTGATTCCTTTTTAACTCTCAACATAAGAACTGTCAACATTTATAAGAGATGGGTTACAACAAAGAGAAAAGGATACCCAAATAGCCACCTGGAAGAGCCAGGCCCTAAATAACTGTAGGTCAGTTTGTAACCTGGGTTTCAGACACAATGACCTTGACTATTGGCTGCTGTTCCATTGTATTTGTGATTATTCCTTTGGTGTCTTTTAGGTTCTACCTCAAGAAGTTTGAAGACTATCCCAAGTCTCGGAAAGCCCTTATTCCATTCATCTTTTAAAGAAACCAAATAAAAAAAGGAGCAAAGCTACCATAATACCAAGATGCTGACTCTCAAGATGCTGCAACTATAATTTGTAAAGTTTCATTATATAAGTATGTATGTATAAAATGTGGTAGTTATTGTTCTGCCAACTGGCTTGGGGATTCTGCGTGATGCAGAATCTATCCTGATCTCCTATTGGAGTTTCATTTTCCAAGTGGAGACATTTTCTTCTTAGCTATGCCTCCTAGAAAGTGTAGAACTTCCTTTATTTTTTTTAAAAATGGCTAATCCCAGTACCTGTTGCTTTTTCCTTCTCTGTATCAATGCAGGACAACTCTGTAGCCAAGAGTTTTTGAGGTGAGGGCAGTGCTTATAGAATTTATGAACAGCATACATTTTAAACCTATGCAGAGTAGCAGAGGATTAAATTCCAAAGCCATGTATGCTCAGAGCACACCCACTCCTCAATGAAAACCTAGTCACATCTTCCTTTTCCTTAGTTAATTAGGAAAGATGTGAAAGGACTGAGTCATATCTGCCTCCTTACATTGCCAAAAAATGTACTGACACATTGACCCCACTTCAAGTTTGTACAGTGTCTTAATCAAGGGGTGCCTCAGTCTTCCAGAAGATTCCACAGTCCCCATTAGAGATATCAACCTAACCCAGAAAACTAGTGTGACCTTCTTGAAGGTCAGCTGTGTTGTTTTGTTTTTGCTTCATGTTTCTGGGGATCAAACCCAGGGCCTCATGCATGCTAGCAAGTGCTCTACTGATGAGCTGTATCCCCAGCCTGAAGTTCAGATTTTAAAGACAAAGAAAAGAATATGACCCTGAATGGCTACTGAGAGAGTAAAGAAGTGCTTTGCAAAGGCTGGATGGACAACATGGCGGCGGGCGGAGAGGCAGCGCTTTCAATACCCCCTCAGGGATGGGGTCATAAAGACACATAGATAACGCTTAGATTCTACCAACGGAGAATCTCTTAGCAAAATTCCACTGAAGAGAGACCAGCCGGTCTTTTAAGGTCTTCAGGGAATAGTCCGAGAAGGGCAATAGCAGGGTCAAATGGTGGTTCCATTCCCAGCTTTCCCAGGAATCTCCATACTGCTTTC